AGCATTTCCTTCTTTCTTTCTTTCTTTCTTTCTTTCTTTCTGTTTTATAATCATATATAATAATATAATCATAAAGCATATAAAGCAAAAAAGGTATGATTAAAAATAAAACCTGTCAATTAGACAAGGTATAACACTAGACATTCCGCCCCCCCCACTTTTGAAATGATGGCTACGCCCCTGACCTTGGGATCAACGGAGTCGGAATGAACCCCAAACATCCTAAACTCAAACCTTTCATAGTTACGATTTACTAATCTTTACACCCTTAACCTTTACGATTTACACCCTTAAATAAAGTTGCTCCTGTCGTAACAGCTGTGGTCTGTATGTTAATAAAGTTCAGACACCCCATTGTCTGAGATAGTTCTCTATGTCCCACAACCATTCCCATTTATCAATTGATGACCATTTGCTCAGGATCGAATCATCCCAGATGGTGCAGAATCAACACAACCATTGACTTTCTTCTTCTCTATAATAATAAAGCCATTTTGGGAAGTGATCATGATTTAACATGGATTAACATGTTATATTAACATGTCATTAACATTAGCATGGATTCAACAGGATTTTACATGTCAACACTGTTAATATTATAGTAACGTTGGTGGAGACCAGCAGTAACCCGAGTGGAATGGCACTGGTGAGTCCCTACCAGACTAACCGGGTTGGGGATCCTATGGATCTAGTTGCTCTGGCACAGCAAGTACAGAAGGTTAGTGATACTTTAGCTCTTTATCACTTTTGTGATATCAGCATCATTAAAAAAAATAAATCAATCAGTTTTTTTTTTTTTTTTTTGTGGGGGAATTTTAGGGAGATGAATTCATCAGAGCCAATGCTTGCAACAAACTTACATTGATTACTGACCAGATAAGATACCTTCAGGAGCAAGCAAGAAAGGTAAGGTTGAACTGTCAATCAAATGACTTTTTTGTTATACAGCAGTACCATAAATGTCCCTGGACATAAGGTAAAATTATTTACCATTAAATTATTATTTTTTTCTTCTATGAAAATGTACTCACCCTCAGGTCATCCAAGATGTAGATAAGTTTGTTTGTAGAACAGATTTGGAGAAATGTAGCATTACATCACTTGCTCACCAATGGATCCTCTGCAGTGAATGGGTGCCGTCAAACAGCGGATAAAAAAAAATCTACGAGTAATACACACAACTCCAGTCTTGAAGTTAAAAATATCTGAATGGTAGATTTGTTTCTTACAAACATGCAGCTTTTCAATAACTAGACATATATTGATGGACTGGAGTCCTGTGGATTATTGTGACATTTTTATCAGCTCTTTGGACTCTGTGATGTAATGCTACATTCTGTAAAGTCTGTTCCCATGGAGTAACAAACATCTACATCTTCAATGGCCTGAGTAAATCATAAGCAAATTTTTATTTTTGGGTACTATTCTTTTTAATGTTTGAATATCTGTGCCAGTAATCTGATGTGACAAATAAATAATGGCTAAATTATTTCCGGTTTACACTTCAGGTTTTAGAAGATGCCAAGAAAGATGCTGAGCTTCACCATGCTGCCTGCAATGTTGTGAAGAAACCAGGAAACATGTATTATCTTTACATGCGTGAATCCAGACAGCGGTACTTCTCGATTCTGTCTCCACAGGTCAGTTGATTGCCTCATTATGAGTGTCTGGGTCTTATCAGCTGACATGAGTGAGAAGTGAGGTCAATATGAATTGATTGGTGCCAACCAGTAGTGATAGTGAAACAAACATTTACTATGTGTAATTGCAATATAAACTCAGAAATGGGTTTATAGTAAAAGTCACCAGAAAACAAATAATTGTGCTAAAATAAAGCACAGTTTAATATGATATGGTTTCAATCTCTTACAGGAATGGGGTCCTAGTTGTCCTCACAAGTTCCTTGGCGGATACAAACTCCAACATGATATGTCTTGGACACCACAAGAGGAAGTTGAAAAGCGGGATGCTGAAATTGGCATCATGGACAAACTGTTGAACAGACAAACTGCTCTACCAGCCTGTACAGAGCCTAACTTTGAAGGTCTTTCACAGTGAAAGGTCACAGCTCACTCACAGACTGTCTTATCTGCTCATGGAGGCCACATTGTCTTAAAAGCTCCAAGTTTTGCAGACTGTAAACTTTCCTTTGTCACTTCTACTGGACCTGTAAATGTATCATTCAATCATGCATTTAATGTGTTCTTATGGTCAGATTTTCTGTTACATTTACATTTATTTTAAATGTTGCAGTCTAATTTATCTTAATTTCAGGGCTACTGAAAAGCTACTGACTTTTTGGGCATTTCATTTACATTAAATCAGTTATTCAGTGCCTCAGTTGATTTTTCTTTGAATAAAGCAGTAGAAAAGCACTACTTACTCTACATCAGTGGTTCCCAATCCTGGTCCTGGAGAACCCCCAACATTGCACATTTTAGATGTCTCCCTATTCAAACACACCTGATTCAACTCGAAACAGCATAACATATGTGCTCATTATATATATATATATTTTATTAAACATGTTAGTCTGAGATTTTCTATACAAAAATGAATGGTGTTATATCAAAAAAGGAATTAATAAAAATTAATTGGTTAAAATTACCTATGTAAATGAACACCTGCAAAACACCCATTTAGCCATCTGTTACTGTTGAGCTACAATTATCAGTAATGTTTTGGAGGTAAGAGTTCACAAAAGGTAACAGCTCCCAGTTGTCAGTTGCAATGCTGACCCGAGCGGCGTCCTCAGCCTGTGTAATCTTCAAAAGGATATGGCACTTGGGTGGAAGAAAGAACAAGACTTTCCATGATCTTTCGCTTTGCTGATCTGTAATAAGGTAACCTTGAAAATGTGTCTTGATCAGATCAGCAAGACTTTCATCTTCAGGTTTAAAGCAGAACAGACTAATGGCAGATTTGTCAGGATTCCCAGAGGCTGTGGCCTCCCAGATGTGTTCGAACACTTGTTCCTTGCATTCACAGGATGAGTTTGGAGGTAAAGGCAGAGGAAGGAATATCTCAGGGAATGAAACGCTCACATCAGGCAGTCGGCTGTGCCAAGAGCGTCCGTCTTGCGTGGTAAACATGGCACTGACGCATAAACTAGTAGGGTAGGGTTGAAAGGGCTTGAGCTTGACTTTGACCTCAGGTGGCTTTCCATCTCTGAACACACATGGTACGTGTATGTCACTTACCTTTGCGTAGTTTGAGTCTTTCAGTTCGAAATGCAGACAGATTGTGAAGACTTTATCGAATAAAAGATCGGTTTCTTTTGCATGAGTCAGATTGTATCTCAAGGTGACCTCAGAGCCAAATCCAGGTGTCTGAAACTGTCCTTGATAAACCTCCAAGCAATTCCTAACCTCTCCTGTTGCCTCCACTGACTCTGAAGAGCTTTGTGTGGCTTTTTCTTGTACCTTGATGAGTTGTAAAACATGCCGGTTTGTTTTGTGCACAGTCAGATTACTGACGATCCCCTCGCTCTCGGCCATAATTGCAGAATGTGACCGCTCTTTGGCACGTCCTCCATCAAGTTCTTTGGCGAGAACCCCCGTAAGCTTTTCCCACGAAAGGTTGGTTAGCAATGTGTAGTAGAAGCGAGCGTGATCCTTAATGTCTGTATCGTCATATTGTATTGATATGTATTGCAAAAGATCAGCCAACTCGATAAACAATTGATCGATGGAGGGGTGCTCCAAAAGATTGCGACAAACAGCGAGAACTGCGTTTCCAACCTGCCAGTTGCCTCTTTCACACAAGTTGGAGTTGATGAGGACATTGAGAAGAAGGTAAATGGTGTTTCTCTGGGTAATCTGACCCTCTTTAGCCACTCTTTTCAAGACTTTCAAGTGCCAACTCAAATTATGAATCGTCAACTGCAATGGAGGCATTTCCATAATGCATTTTTGAAGCTCTCTTAGCAACTTGACCGACCAGACTGGGTCATCCAGATGCTCCTGGATGTGATCCGCGAGGCCAATCAAATTTGGAGCGAGTCGCGAATGTCTGGAATACATGTCGCATAATTTGTCAATCAGCTTCTCAGAGAGTTCTTCCATGTCATTGAAGTGCATGAGAAAAATAAACAACGCTCTGAAAGAGGTCACCACCACTTCTCTGCTACCGTCATTGTCTACGATTTTCAAAAGGGCCAATATGTGATTAAACAGGAAGCCGATTCCTTTGTCCGCTTCGCCCTCATCGGCTTCAAGGTGCACCAAACAAAGAAGGTTTAGCCTGCAGAGCATAGTTGCACTATCATTGAAAACTGTTGGATGAAGAGACGCTGCCAGACGTGGCGTAACCAGAACGGGTAAACTCTCTTCTCCGCTGCTGGATATGGGCCGGTTCTCAGGGAAATGCAGGATGCATTCCATGTAGAAGAGCTTTTCTGGAATTCTTAGGAGAGGATGCTGGGCTGTGCCCACGAGACGCTTGAGCAGGAAGTTCTCGTCCTCTGCGGTGAAAAGGCTATCTGTGAACGTGTCCTTCATAAAGAGCGTGGCATGCATGAGCGAAACATCTGCCGTTCCGAAGAGTCGCAGAAGCTGCGATTTGAATAGCGTCGGAGAGAGTCCCGGGACCATGGCGACAACTTCTACAAGCTCCCTAAGTAGGGCAGACTGGGAAATAGGTGTTAGCAGGTAAGACTCCTCCAAGAGCGAAGACATTATAGATTTGAGTTCTTTACAATCCAGTCCTTGTGTCAAACGTGGGACTTGCACCAGCATGTTTATTGGCAATGAGGTCAATTCTAACTGATTGCTTTTCCATGCAAACCCTTCATTTCCTCCTAAGATACTCTTAAACTCTAGGTCAGTAACATCTTTTTGGTTCGTCAAGATCCTTATGGCGTTCTTCAGCCCGAGTGTATAAAGCAAACAGTAGGACTGATGCAGAACTGTGGTTTCTTGCTGTTTTAGAAGATACAGGGCCTCTAACTTTTGAGAAAGAAGACCAGGGCTACAGGTTTCCATTTCTCGTAGGCAATCACAAGCGGTGGCCCTTATTGGCTGCTGGGATAGACCACATCTGTAGTCATTGGTGTCTTGGATCGTCTGAAATAGCAGGTCAAGCCAGTCTTCAGCTGTCTTTGTGTGGGTAGCCAGGCAGGATGTGCATATTATCACATTGGTGATGGCCAGCATGACATTGCACTTGAGCACGATGGATTTCTGTGGTGTGTGAGAGAAGACTGACAGGAGTTCAAGGGCCGTTTCCTCTCCCACAGAGGCAGAAGGGCAGAGAATGGTTGGATGCTCCAGTAGTACAGACACAAGGAGTATCTTATAAGGAAAAAAAAAAATCACAATACACAAAAGCAAGTTAATTACAGGGAAAATGCACAGCATTTCAAAGCTTTATGGTAATTAAAAGGTCTAGTTACTGCAAAAGCTGCAAACACAGTGGAGCGGGGTTTTTATAATTAAAACTAACACCATTACAAACTTTCATCACTTTAAAAAAAAATAATAATAAATTGTTTCATTTCAGCTGAGACAATATTTCTAATTTTCATTTAACTTGATGTACTAAAATAACAAACTGAAATAAAGTTAATAAAAAACTATACATATTGAAAACAAAAAATAAACAAATATAAAAATACACAAAATGTTTAAGACTTTAAAAATAAAATGAAAGCAGGAACTATGAAAATAAAAACAAATTCAAGATAATAATAAAAACTATAATAGTATCTCAATTAAACTGAACTGACCCTGTTGTGAAAAAAATACAAGAATGTTTTATAATAAAAGCATTTTTGTTTATTTGAAATATACCATTGTAAAGCATAGTACACCTCTGGCTGATAAAGATATTCTATATAAATAGAACATTCAACATGTATTATATATATATATATATTTCCAACATTATGTTAATATATAAAATATTTTATATGTAGAATATTTTTCTACTATTTCAACGTCTGTATTCATGCACATAACGGTACAGTATTTTATAAATGAAAGTGCAATAAATATGAAGTACGTGCGTTAGTTACCTTGAGGTGATCATTGGCCTTATCATTCCGCAGTTCGTGTAGGAGTTCAGCCAAGAAACTCTCAGTGGTGGTGGTGGCCAAAAACTGAGATGGACTCAGTAGAAAGGCAGATATTCTCTGATCCCAGAGATCCGCAATAGTCATTCTGCAAATAAACTGCGACTTGCGATTAGAAAAGAAGAATGTGTGTGCATGGCAATGACGCTACATTGATTTAATAATGCACCTGAACATTAACATAAAAAGCGCTTTCTTTAAATGTAAAGACTTACCTATCAGGTCACACTTAAAAACGTAAATAAAGCAATTTACTATGTAGCGTCCAACTATTGACGTCTCTGGAAATCATGTGTTCCGAAGCTGTCATGTGATCCACCGCGCAGTGACAGCAGTTCACTTTAAAATTAAAGTCTAAGTCGCCCATATTTAAATATCCCATAATAATTTATTTTGTTTCCATTATCTAATTGTATAGTGAATATTTATAGATTTTTTCAATAACTGTCTTTTAATATTACACTCATATAATTTACACTCATTTCTGAGCTGAAACGGTGTGCTTTTATTTTGAAACGGTGACGTGATCTCGTTTTTGGCCAGCACTTTACTGCCATCGTGTGACTGGCGAGCTAAATATTTAGAGAAGTAGGTCAAAGAGCAACCTAAATTAGAAAATTCAATAAATAATTAGAAACAATAAAATCATACCCTTTACAATGAATAATAAGCTCCTGGCTTGTAAGGTAAGGTGATGTACATTGAGTTTATTGCTGTCACTAACACTAACACATGAACACTGCTGCTATTCCAAAGAATTGCAAAACAATCCAATATATAAATGATAGCAACATTAATAAGATATGTTTTTAAGTATGTTAAGTAACATTATATTAAACATGTTCGAAGGGAAATCTTTTAAGACATTATTTCACATATCAAGCCTATTATTATAAATATTAATATATATACATGATTATCACAGTTTGTGTAAAACTAATTAATTAACTCGTAAATGGCAAATTACTTGATTTTTATTTTCTCCGTGCATGGACAAAATCCTGCTTTATCTTTTCTCCCTCCTTGTTAATTAATTGAATCTTAAGTCA